TTTTTTGAGAAGTAGAGTAGAAATCCCTTAGGGAAACTAGCTGTTTTTCGGTGTCTTTATCCTGGTTATGCTTCTGTTGAATCTAAACCTTTTGCTGCCTTGTGTTCATGTCTTTGTAGTTAGTTTTAGATAAAAGAAGAATGATTGGGTGTCACACTTGAGAACTTAGCTTTGTTCTTGGTTTTTTTTTTTTCAAAGTTGTTATCCCTGATGTCCCTGAGAGAATTTTGTGAAGTTATGCCGAATGTGAATTCGGTGGTATTGTTCCTTACCACAGTTATGATAAGGGAGTCTAGTTACTGGAATTATTGAAGCTGTTTCAGTGATTCGTAATGTTTTGGCCTTGATCCAGTCAGTGAAGGTTAATTAATCATACGCAATGCTTTTCTTTGCAATGAGAATACAAATTAGTTGTTTCTTTGTGCCGTGCGAAGGATCAGAGAAACTGAACTGAACCTGTGAACTTAAATCTTTCCAGCTAGCCTGTTCCAAATCAGAATGTCACTTGTGCATGTTACATGGTGTCTAAAATGCATCATGTCGAGAGAAATCGTGCACTTCTACCCATTATTTTCTGGAGAAATGGGTATTGTTGCTCTGAGATTCTGAGTGAATCTGCATGAAATTAATCTTAAAAATGCTGAAGTCTGACATTCAGACTTGCCCTTTTTTTTTAACAAGCAGGATGTAAACGTTTTTCTGTACTTTTTACAAGATTACAGTTACATAATCTGTACACGTTATTAACTTCAACTCTTTTTTCCCTTGCAACCGACTATACAGCGACCAGCTACATTTACCAAAGCCTGGGTGATGTGGAGTGGTACATAAAGATGAAGCTGTCGTCATGGCAACAGTGAGTGAAGTATCGAAAATCCCCAAGGAGAAGCCAGTGCTCTGAGAATAGGTCACTGGAATCGGGGGACTAACAGGTTGGCCGCTGGTGAACCATTTGGAAGAACTCCTGTATCTTGTTATAAGCTTTTTTCTTTGCTGTCCAGGTTTTTAGAATACTAGCTTAATCTCTTTTTTTTTATCTGAAGCTAACACTTAGGCCGTAGTTAGTTTCTCACATGCAACCCAGAACTGAAACAATCAGGCTGCTGTACTTTCTCTGCACATCTAGTCTAGTATTTCTGTTAACTGAAGCTCTTAAGCTGCACATGAAGTTTGAGTAGTTTGAGTAGGCTTGCTTTCTTTCTTAAACAGTTTTGGGTTCTTAGTTCCACTTTCTGGCTCTGTATAACTGCAGTTTGAATTCATAGTAAAATATGCCTTCACAAGGATATGGAAGTCTTGAATTTGTAAAGCTATTTATATAAATTACTGTGTAAGCAGTCCCTTACATGTACGTGTTTGCAGAACTGGGAATTGCATTGGAATTTTCTTTTTGTAAGACTTGTAGTCAACTGAGTTACTGCTAGGTGGTATTTCTAATACTGAGAAGTAAGATAAAGCTAAAAAAGTGTTTTGGACAAGCATATTTTCTTTTGGATCTTTCACGAGCATATGTCATGTAGTACTGCATGTAAAAATGTTTGTGTGCATGGAGAAAAGCTCGTATTATGAAAATACTGCTTTAAAAAAAAAACTGTGTGCCAAAACATCTGTGTTCTGAGCAAAGTGCAACTGTTTAATATGTAGAATGTAGTTCGAAGTTGATATTATTTATCTTAAATATGCCCGAAAGCTGCAGAAGGTCCTTAAGAGACTGGAACCAAATGTGACTCCTGTCATGATGTAATCTCGCAAATGTTGGTTTGAGATGCTCAGTCAGCTATTTTTTACTTGTTTTGCAGCAAACAAGTTCATGCAGTTGTGTTGGAAGTGGCCTGTATTAATAATACACACTACTTAGTGTTCTTCAAACTGTTCTATAAATCTACGGTGCTTGTATTTACAATGTTGGAGACAAACATAGAACTCTCCTTATTCTCTTGTATTGACTGGCATAAGAGAGATCTGGTCTTTGAAATGAGATTCTGATGTTATGCTGTACTTGTCAGAAGTACTTTTTGCATTATGAACAAAACTACATGCAGGGCACTTTTCCTCCAAAGTGTTAGACATTCTGAAGACATTAGATGTTAATATTACATCAAATGAAGTTGTAGCTCTGTTGAGAACTTAGGTTTCATTTGTCAGAGGGATTTTAAAAAGGATATTTGTAATTTAATTGTGGTAATCTTTTGGGTTGTTATGCAATCTCTAAATACCGATGAAGTTTTGCGACTAAGTGTTGGGTCAACTTCACAGAGAGCACACAGTGCCCATTCTGGTCTTAAGTCTAAAGTCTGGCCTGGAGCACGAGTGCTGATCTGTAAAAACAGATTCAAAGTAAGAATTTGTAATACTACTTGGCTGTATAGGGTTTGGAGCTTATATTTTATATATAAGCTTATAAATTACTTTTCTGTTTTGTTACTTGGACCTAAAATGATTACTTCTTGGACTGAACTAAGTGCAGCAAATGCAGTAGCAAAGTTCCTCTCTTTTCTTTTCTCGGTAGGAAAGCTAAGAAGTTTTCCAAAGGGAAATCTCTGAAGTTTCCAACTTCTAAATTATGCATGCCAATACTTTGGAGTTTATGGCAAAAGTACTAACTTAGTAAATCTTAATACAGCGGGGAACCTGACTTTTGCCAGTATTAAGATGCAGTAAAGTCTTCTGGAGATTTTTTTTTTTTTTTGCATAAGTGGATAAAAGGCTGCATTTGTCTTTCTATTTCTGGAAATACTGTCTGGATAAACTGATGGTTTTCATGGCTTCCTTAGATCTCTAGATCTCTAGAACTTGTGTGTCATAACCAGAGTAATATGGGACAACAGAGTAAAGCACGCTTTTGAGTGTCTTAATTCTGAGTTTACTATCACTTTGCTGTTGAACGTGTACAACCATTACGAACTGCTTGTGCTGATCCTATGGCCCTGTAGAAGGACAGTGAAAACTTAAAATGCAGTAAGGCTCACAATCTTTCCTGTTGCACTTCTGGCTACCTTACTGTGTTTTCATAATACTGTCTGCTTGCATAGCTTTCAAAGACTGCAAAGACATGGGGAAGAGAGTAGTCCTACGGCAGGTTGTTGGATGATCCCATGCAGTCATATCATCCTAGTGGTGATTTACTGTTTTTTTAGACTGGAAGTCATAGCTGCCCTAACTCTTTCATCCAAGATTTGTCATCTCTGATGAAGTGTTCTGCTAACAAGCTGAGCCTGGACACCTAAGCTCACTCTGAATGATTTCTAGATAAAATGGTGTAAAGCAGTTAGGGGAAGAAATGTTATTATAAACCCCAGTGTAGTTAGTTGAAATCAATGGGAAGTGAATCGGTTTCACTGATTTGAAGAACTTCAGCATGGGTCTTCCAGTCTCCCACTCCAGAGCATTGTGTTCAGACAGCCTTTGTAGTGTTTCAGTATTCAGATAAAATCACAGCCTCTCTACTGAAGTAGTTACCTTAAAGAAGCTTTTGAAGTGTTTTGTTTCTAGGTAATTAAAAAAAAACAACCAACAAACAAAAACCCAACCAAACGTACTCTTGACTGCGTTATATTTAGAGTAGCTGAAATCACAAACTTTGTAAACTTGCTCTGAGTTAACACTTAACTAGAGAAGTTACTTCTATGTAACATGGAAAAAGTTGCATTTTTTTAGAAGACAGTAGTAAGGCTTGTACTTGAGTTGTAGGTCCTTCCTGGCACCACGAAACTGCAGTAGTTTGTTTCATACCTCCTGGGAGCTGTTTCTCGGTCCTTTGGAAAGAGCAAGGGGAGCTCACGCTTCAAGGGCATGGTTGTACAACATGATGCTTTTATTAGTGAAGGGGGTGGCTTGTATCCTTTGACCAATGGTAATAAGCATCCTTCCAGGCGACTGCAGAAGTCTTAGCATAAATTGTGGATTAATGAAGTTGGGAAGCCCTTCCGCTAGTCTTGTAATTAAATTAAATCTTTGTTCCTGGGGTGGAAACCTAGGTTTTTTGAGTGTTTTTCTGCTCTGTGACCTATCAGGGCAGAGAACTGTGGTCCAGTTCTGGAACTTGCATGGAATCAATAAATGCAAGTTAGTGAAATATTCTGTCTGATAAAACAGAAGCTGATGCAAAATTTGTCACCAGTGCTTGGGGCATACTAGGTTTACCATGTAAACAGACTGTGGTTTATCAGAGCGTAACTAGTTGTAAGACCATTATTCTGCATTGAAAAGCATGTGGAATATGTGAGGCATATTACAAACAGGGAAAAAGCTGGTCTGTCTTTAGGAGGAAGTGGATGAAAATACACAATGTGGAGTGTTGAAAGGTCAAGTCTAAGCACGGACAAAGAAAAGAGTACAAAATGGAGTATGACACGTGTATAAAGCATACAGCAAGTTATTTTAGTTAAAATGCTTTGGAGAGCTCAGGTGTTGGATTTGGAAGGAATTAGGACTTGCTAGTGCTAGATATGGGAATCTTTCTTTGTGAAGTGAGCTCTTGTTTTGCAAATGCAAATAGCAGAAGTGACAGGATACCCACTGAGTAGTGGGTGCAGTGTTCAGAACAACAAGCAGATCTTTCACCATTTCAGGGGTTAAGTTCTTTGCTTTGCTAGGCTTTTTGTATATCACAGTATCAGGGCTGTCTTTTTCTCTGAAGATCTGAATAATCTTGTCTTCCCATGCATAGGAAACTGCAAGTTATAAAGCACAAGCTTGCTGCTTTAATATTAGTAAAAAAAACATGTTCTAGCTTATTTTGCTTTGAAGTCCTACCTAGCAAAGGTAGTTGTATCGCACTCTTTGCCCCACCTCTGTCATGAAGTGTAAAGGTTCTTTGAGATACTGTAAAGTGGTCTTTCGTTCCAGCAGCTGGACTAGTATAGTTTGCATACATGGTAGCAAAAATTTTTTTTTTTATCTTGGCCATCTAATCTGTAGCTAGGAAAGAGCAGAAACTAAACTAGTTTATCTAAACTTGGACAGCACAAGATTAATGCTTAAACTTGCTTGCAGGAGTTAAAAACAGGTTTCTGTTGCCATTAGTTGGTTGGAAGGGAAAACAGAGATGCCACTATTTTTGGATATGCAAAACAGTTTTGATTTTATTTCTTGCAAACTATAGGACTCCAAGCCCCCTGATACTTGATCAGAACTACATAAACACCAAAAATCAAGTAATCAAAGCAGAAAGAAGGGTACTGAAGGAGTTGGGATTTTGTGTTCATGTCAAGCATCCACATAAGGTGAGTTATCAAAAATAATATAATCGCAAATATTACGCTACCTCGATGGCATCATTGTGAGCTGTGGGACAAGAAACACAGGTGTAAAAATGACTGGATTTCTTTTTATTCCTTAGTTACAATGAATACTTTTGCCAGAGTTCTTGGGCAGATAGTCATACTGGCTTTGGTAGAAGTTGCTTCCTTGGGAAACGTTAAAGGTGACTTGTTTTGAAAAATCACAGAATAGTAGTAAAGAATTGTCTGAACACGACTGGATGACATGTGAGCTTACAGTGCATGCTTAGAAAAGGAGGAGAGACCTTTGTTTTGGAATACTGTGTGGTTATACATAGTTGCTCCGTTACTGTTGCTTTATATGTTAAAACCGAGTCTCTTTTCTTCTCCTTATTCCTCAGATCATTGTTATGTATTTACAAGTCTTAGAATGTGAACGTAATCAAACCCTGGTACAGACAGCCTGGTAAGTTGTTATTTTCCGTTCTTTTCCTAGCCAGGAAAATAGTAGCAGAAATAACAAGCCTGATGATCCATATACAAAGCAATGAGATGTAAGTTATTACACAAATATATGCTTTTAAAATATTTTAGTGCTTGTTTCTGCTTACTATTTTCATGGCTTGATTCCAATATAGTAATGGAGAACTCAATTTAACTTTGTTCTTTTTTCTACTCTTTAATTAAAGGGTAGTCCCTGATGGTAAGTCATAGAGCTCTGCCCTCTGCACCTCAGCCCATGACCTGGGGATGGCCTGTTTGGCTGCCCTTCTCTCCAGCCAACCCAGTGCAAGCTCTCATCCGAGATTCACTGAAGTGGTCCATATCCATCGGGCAGCATCTTCTAGTTCTGTCTGGGTGTCAAAAGGATTTGTATATTTGCTTTTAGAAGTAACTGTTAAAAATGTTTCTGAATGTATTTGTTGCCTAGCTGCTGTATACTGTAGTATATTTAAAGGACACATGGGGTAGACTTTCTGCCAACATTTATTTAGTTGATTTAGCATTTGGCTAAACTTGAGTTTAAAAAAAAAATTACAGTGCATGCAGCATGTTGACTTAGAAGCCATATTGGGCATGGTTTTCTGTAGAGTCAATACTTACTGACTGCTGTTCGTTTCTTTCCTGTAGCTCAGTAACTTAGAAATGGATGGAGGTCTCTGCTGTTTAAATGTATCTCTTGGCATGTATTGCTTGGCAGTACCACCGTGGTGAAAGAACAGTAGCTTAGTGAAGTGGGAGACCCATTACTAACTTGCAGGTCTTTTTCCAACACCCAGTGAGCAAATTGGATGCTTCTCTCTCTGGATGAAGTTAATGTGACTCAAGGCATACGTAGGATTTAAATGCAATGTTTTATGAACTTTATAGGTTGCATCTAGCCTCTGGAAAATGGTAGGTTAAAAATACACCATGCTTGCATTTAAGTTTTACGCATACTGATTTTTTTTTTAATACAAGAACACTGGTGTTTTAAAGCAAACAGCTAGACAGATGAACAGTACTTGTTAGATTGTTAACTTCATGGACACTTCACAGTATAACTTAAGGTAGCTACTTAGGAAGTAGCCGTTACATACTGTTACCTGCATTGGGTTTTCAAAACAATGGCAATGGTGCAAACTTCGTTACAGAAGTAACAAATGTAAACATCAAATACAATAATGCAGAAGAAACCAAGTGTTTAATAACAGAAAAAATAATAAAGTCAATTGAGTCTCCAGTATTGTTATCCTCTACATAAAAAGATGTAAACAGGAGGTCAAATCTTTCCTAAACTTTTTTTTTAGGAATTACATGAATGACAGCCTTCGAACAAACGTGTTTGTTCGCTTTCAGCCAGAGACTATAGCATGCGCTTGCATTTATCTTGCTGCTAGAGCTCTGCAGGTGAGTATTCATCTCTCAGTTAGCATTGCCTTTTATTGCTAGTAATCTGGTTTCAAGAAAATAAATGAAAGTACTTATAAATGAAAGCCTGGTCTGTAATCTCCATTATTATGCTTTTGGTGGTTTTATTTTCAGATTCCACTACCTACCCGTCCTCACTGGTTCTTGCTCTTTGGCACCACAGAAGAGGAGATTCAGGAGATATGCTTAACAACTCTTAAGCTCTACACCAGAAAGAAGGTAACTTTGAGATGTTTGTTCTTCCTATTCAATGTTCAGTGCAGCTTGAGCTGTCTCATGGTTGTCTAAGTGTGTTTGGGAACACCTGCATACAAATCTACTAATTGGAAAGGCTCTGCTGTGTGGCGGCTGCTCTAAGGGTAGTGTGAGAACAAAATACGGAAGTTAGTCACATTACTGGTCAGATAAGATAATTGTGTATTTTTCAGAAATGAGATGAAAACATAAATTGCATTAGTTCAGCTTCTTACCACATTGTTACTTTAACAGCCCAATTATGAATTCCTGGATAAAGAAGTAGAAAAGAGGAAAATGGCACTGCAGGAAGCTAAACTGAAGGCAAAAGGTTTAAACCCGGATGGAACTCCAGCACTGTCAACACTGGGTGGCTTCTCTCCTGCATCCAAACCATGTAAGTTGCTTTCTGAACAGAAACTTGCATAATACTGTTTGGTAAGTCTTCTAAATCTGTGTCCCAAAGTGTTAAAAAAAAGGCAGGTTGCCTTCTTGAGCTGTTAGTCAATTTAGGCTTTCTCACAGAATTAAGAAGCAAGACAAATCTTTCTCCTTTTTTTTTTAAACACAAATTTTTAAAGCATTTTCGGTATCTTGAAATAGCAGATTAGAGGGGAAAGGAAGGCTTTACGCCATGCTCCCACAGATGGGAGAGTGATACATTTGTAATATGCACCCTGAAGATAATTATGTTATGAAAATGTCTAGCCACAGGAGTTTGCTGTATATTACTGGGTTGTGAAGAGAGGCTTCCTGGATTTAATGTCACAGTGGCCTTTGTGACTCCTGTTGCAGCAGGTATCTGAAAATTGCTTTCTCTGCTTATTCTTAATGTACTTGTCCATTGTTCCAAGTGTGGTGAAGGAAGACAGCTTTTGGTCAGGAAGTGCAGAAGGGAAGGTCACAGTGCTGTCTTGGCATTAGAGTGAATAGATTGTTGTAATGCATATCTTGAACCGGCCTGTAAATCTGTCTGCACTCTAATGATGCAAAAAACAGTTAGTTCTGTCTTGGTGCTTTTAGCTCTTAATGCTGCTATTGATCTGTAAACTACCAACAAAATGTAAAGGGTATCATGAGCATTGGTCCAGCAGTTGTGGGTAAAGTGGAAGGCACAGGCCCTTGTTTGTTACATGGCCTCTTCAGGAACCTGAGAACATATATGAAGAAAGCAATACTTGTAGTGCTTATTTCTCCTTAAGAGCAAGACATCTTGAGTTTCCACAGGTTACTAGTTGGCAAACTGAGGGAAAGCTGCTGATAGCATTCTGCCTTTCTGTATTTTTACATTAAACCTCTGAACCCTATTGAGTGAGGAGGCTGCAGTGCAAGTCATAACGCAGCACCTCTGCCTTGCTTTCAGCAGGCCAGATAGAAATGTGTCTTTCTTGCATAGTAGCCCTTCGTGAAAAGGTGAATCCATTTCTGGGCTGTATGAGCTGTCTGTAGAGAGAAATAGACTTCTAAGGTTTTTGATATTCAAATTTTATATTTGTACCACTAATATTAAAAATGAATTCTGTAATTTTGTTGTTCAGTCTTAATTCTTTCTATAGTACTGGAAATTAACTGTCAAGGTAACAAGTTAGGTATTTGTGGGCCATAAGGGCAGTTTTTCTTTTGTACCACTTGGGCCTGGTGGACAAAATCTCAAATGAGGCTGGCTGCTTGGCTTGAAGGTCACAGTGTTCTCCCCTTGCTGCCGGCAGTTGGCTTTAAACTACTATGTATCTCCCCACGGACATCTCACTCCAGTGCTCTCTTCTGGAAGTGCACTATAAATGGAAAGATGGAATGAAATAGTAGCTATTGAGTTCATACTTACATTTTGTGCAAATACTGGGAAAGGTATAAAGGATACAATATCTTTATTACAAAATCTGTGAATAAAATGCCTAATTTTTGATTTAAATTTAATTCTTAGCTTCTCCGAGAGAAGTGAAAACTGAAGAGAAGTCTCCAGTATCTCTGAATACCAAAACCATTAAAAAAGAGCCAGAAGAGAGGCAGCAAGCTTCAAAGAGCCCTTACAATGGGTAGGTAAAAATTTCTTCCCGATGAAGAGAAGACTTCTGTAAAAGTGTTTTCTTCAGCTGAAGTACAGTGAACCACTTTTGAGCTACTTCATGGAAGTAACGAGTACCTCAGAAGTGTAACCCTGGTTTTTTTTTATATCCCCCCCCCAGCATGAGAAAAGAAAGCAAGAGAAGTAGAAGCAGCAGAAGTGCTAGTCGATCTAGGTCAAGAACAAAGTCAAGGTCTCGATCTCACACTCCTAGGCGGCAGTAAGTAGCAGATTTTTGGTTGGTTGGTGGGGGGTTGTGGGGAAGGGGCGGGGTTTTTCCAGGGTGTTGTCTTTTTATCATAATTAGTTCACTGGGATATTTCAGCAAGGTTTTTCACTTCTTAGAAGTGGGGCTACTCCAAGTAGCTTGTAGGCGCTTAGCACAAGCTTCTGACTGCTGGCCAGCAAAAAAAGTGTGAGACTTGGGTCTGGCTTTAGGCTCTTAGTGCTTGCCATGAAGCAGTTCTGTTGGTAACTGTGCTGTTAGTGGTTCAAGTTGTAAAAGCTTTGCTATAAAATGAAAGCTTACAACTACCCCAACTGTACACACACCTGATGAGTCTATGATGGAGTGAGTATAAGGTAGTCTTACCCTCTTCAGTGGTCTTAACAAGGTATCCGTTACAACTGTGAGCAGTCTCTCTGAACTTGGTCTACTTTGAAGTAGTGAGAAGTGCCACAGAAGCAAGTTTCATGTGTTGCAGCTTGCTTCCAAATGCATGGGAGAATGTATCTTCTGTCAGCATTGCCTGATGCTCTGTCTGGCTCTTCAGTACTCTGCCTCCCTTCTCTGACTGGAGAAGAGGAGTAACTGCGTGGGGTGATGCAGTGATAGCTGCTGGCATTATCTATCTGTATTTTTAAAGAATCTTCAGACTGACATTTCAGTTAGAAGAAACTGCCAGCTTAGATCTCAATGAAGTATTCCCCTAAGTATTGCTGACTGTCTAATCACTGAAGGAAAAAAGGCAATCACCAATCTGCAGTCTGATGTTGAGAGGAAGGTTCCTGACAAGGCCGAACAACTGGAGAAGGCACTGCATTCTGGGTTTGGGTTTGGTTTGGGCTTTTTGTTTTCAACTCAGGCATGTTCTGGGATGGTCACTGTCAGTCATCAGTTATCCCTGTGGGAGTAGTGTCTGATTTCTTCCAGCAACTTGAGAGTTCCTAAGCATTTATACATTGGTGGTGGTTTTTAAAATTTCCTTCTGTGTGGAAGACATGTTTTAACTTCTTAACACTTTTCTGTAAGCTACAACAATAGGCGGAGCCTGTCTGGGACCTACAGCTCAAGATCGAGAAGCAGGTCCCGCAGCCACAGTGGCAGGCCCCCCCGGCGCAGACACCATAATCACGGCTCGCCACACCTGAAGACCAAGCATAGCAGGGAAGAGCTGAAGAGTGTGAATAGACACGGTCACAAAAGGAAAAAGTCTCGTTCACGTTCGCAGAGCAAATCCAGGGATCATTCCGAGGCTGCCAAGAAGCACAGGCACGAGCGGGGACACCACAGAGACAGGCGTGAGAGATCCCGTTCCTTCGAGAGATCGCACAAGGGCAAACACCATGGTAGCGGCCGCTCAGGACACAGCAGGCACAGGCGCTGAGGTTTGCACCTGCACCACATTCTAGTTAAGCCTGTATATAATACAGTAAATGGACTCTTTATGTGAGAACAAAGGAACTGATTACGATTTGATTAATTTAAACCCAATATCTAATTTTCTAAAACATGTAGAAGATTTTTCTTTTGGAAGAAGAAACTGTTACCAACTTTTGCACATAATACCTTAGCAGTATCAGATTGATGGAAAACAAGGATCAGGTTAAATTGTATGTATTAGAGTTGTGTATTGTTTATTGATATGAGAACTGGAGAATGGATTTCTGTAAAAAAAAGCAAAATGTACCTTATTTTTATACAAGTCAATTGCAGACACTTATATTTAAGTATAGTTATTTGTTTAAACGATGGTGGATACTTTCTTACACTGGTTTTAGTCTGCATGTGTTAAAAGATTTTTACAAGAAATAAAATACAAAGCTTTTTTTTTTTACTGCCTGTTGGATGTCAAATATATTGAAACTAAACTTAATTTTCTTAAATGCCTTCGCTTGACCATTGCAGATTAATGACACATTTGGGGATATTGGTATGCTTCTATGGCAAATGAAAGACTCGGAAGGCTTCAGACGTTTGTGTCTGTCCTAGGGTGGGCAGCTGGGAAGCCAGGTCCTCTTCTGTCATGCATGCAATGTTGGAATAAATGAGCCTGGACTGCCCTGTAAAGCTTCGCTTTTGTGAAAGGGCCACAGCTGGGCTACTCAAGTCCCAGCCCTCCTGCCAGCTGCCCCTGGGGAGGTGGGGACTTCTCTCTTGCCCATTTCCTCCAGCTGCTTCTGGCAGAAGTCAGTGAAGAATCAAGTTTTGGGATTTTTATTTCCCTCCTTTTGTTACTGGTGGCAGGATGATGGCAGTAGGAGGATGGATCTTGCTGCAAGTGTAATGTTTACGCAGCTCTTAGCTGAGCTCTCTGGGGCACATCTGCCAGCAGTGTCTGACCACCTGGGTGTGAGATGTTCCCCCATGCCTGCTGTGCTGCTGCAGTTGGGTGGAGGGTCGCGCTGACTCAGCCTGGGCAGATTTGTCTGCTTTAAACCCATGGGGGTGCTGCAGTGCAAAATACAGATCAGTTTGCTGCAGGAAGCTTGCCTGTGTGCTGGGGGGAGCATTTCTCGGTGTCCAGCTGCTGGAACTGTATCCCATGCCACTGTACAACCCAAAGCTGTCAGCATGCATGGGATAGCTCTGGGTGTAGTAGCAGGTAAGAGAGATGAAATGGATGAGGAGGAATTTGATTCTTTTCAGTTGCTTCTCTGGCAGTAATGAAATCTTAAATCACAATTTAGCTGCCCTGGCTGAAGGTGAGCTGGCTGGGTGCGCTCACCTGCAGCATGGCAGAGAGCAAAGCCTGAGGCCAAACAAGGTGGGAGCGGACTGAAATGCTGGTCTGGCTGGTCTGGCATCCTGTGCTACTGCAGGAGCAGGTGCCAGTTCCTGTTTGGCCACAGGTTCTGCAGCCCTCAGAAGGGAAAGGAAAAAAAATGTGGTTGAGCAAAAGCTTCACTGAACTGGTATGTTCTCATAAGCAGTTACTCAGCATCCTGCCAGGCCTGATCTGCAACTGTTCACTAGAAATGCAAGTGAATACTTTTTTTTTTTTTAAAGAGGGAAAAGAAAAATGTCTTCCTCTGTTCCTTGGTTACCTCTGTGTGTGTTGTTTTGATCTGCAGTAACTGTATTTTGTGTGTTTGTTGCTTTCAGGAAAAATTACTTGTTGCTATGGAAATTAAGGTGGTGTTTTCCCCAGATACAAGTATTTAGATAGTCTAGGGCAGTGATAAAAACATGGTTTTGAAGTAGCAGCAAAATGGCTCAAGCTCTGTTGGAACATTGGAGTTTGTGTATCGGAGTGAAACATGGAGAGGGCTCAGCCTCTCTGTGTGTTTGTGTGTTAAGTACCCGTTACCCTTCTGTGCTTCCAGTGCCCCTTGCTCCAGAGCAGAAGAGCAGAAGTGAACTGCCTTGTAAAGCTGGAACATCTGGTGATGTTGAACGTCTAGACGCCATCTGCTGCAGATTGCTTACGCAGTGAGCTTGCAGTCAGCCAGCAAGAAGTTCAGTGTTTGTTCTTCCACGGGGGAAAGAAAAAGATGGCTTCAGCTAGCTTTATGGATGGTGGCCGTAACCCTGACACGTCTTTGCCAAGGGCAGGCCATAAAAGAAATGAGTTTGGTTACTGAAACAAAAGGAGAACTTTGTCGAAGCCCAAGTGTATTGGGTCAGTGCCGTAAAGAAGAGGAGATATGCTGGGGGTCTGAGCGAGAACGACAAACCGTGGCGCAGGTTGTTTGCTTAATAGTTAAATATGTGACAGCATGGTTACAGCTGGAGCTGGGGCTGCACCCAGGAGCCAGCTGTGCAGGGTCTGGCTGTCCGGGCTCTGGCTCAACCGCACCTGAGCAAGAGCTCCTGGCTCCTTTGCCTTACCCTGTGGCCACGCTGTGAGTGCCTGGGTCTCTTCGCCTGGATCAGACAGGAAGAAAGCTGCTCCCCCAAACTTACTGCACCATCGGCTGCGGGGGGACAAAAGCGGTGACAGAGTGAACATGCCAGCTTGCTCACAGCAGTCCATGCATGGGCAATGCAGGTTGTGCTGGGAGGTGATGTGACGTGCCAGGAGCGGATTGGCATCGGGGCCTCGCTCTGCTGTGTCGCGCTGCAGCACAGCAACCATCAACGGACCCATGAAGCATCAGCCAAAGCCTGTTTTAAGGGAGGTCTTGCATTATTTTTACAACTAAATCTCGTATGTCTCTCCCAAGACTTTAAAGTGTCCTTATGTGTTCATTAAGCTCTAAATCACAAAAACTAATCATTTGAGAGCACTGTTTGACCTTTAAGCATCCATATCAACCACCAGGAGTCACTTGAGGCTGCACTGACAAACCTCAGTAGCCGAGATGTATTTTTCTTTAATGCTTGTTACTTTTAAATTCTTCAGTGTCTTCCGTGTGCTTGAGTCACTAATGGGAGCCCTTCATCAGCTGAAACTTATCTCTGAAGGATGTGGTGGCTCTGGTGACCCACCACTGACATCCGAATGTAGAAGCACCCAAGGCCACAGTACCTCGCTGCAGCTCCTGCCCAGAGCCGGCGGCTCTGCCCCCGCTGCGGACCCAGGCAGCTGTGCTGTACCGCAGCACCCATTTCCCTCTGCCCCACCCTTTCATGCTTGATTTACCGTGCTTGTTCTCTCACAGCACCGGTGGAAATACCAGGACGCCAAGGAAACCAGTGCTGGAACGTGCAGATGAAGCACAATGAAAGATATTTTGGTTCTTCCTCTCCATCCCTCCGGCGATGGCTGTGGCCCAGGCACAGCCTGCTGCTGCCAGCACGGCAGGCAGGGAGGTCGCTCGGGCTGTGCCGTCAAACCCAGATGGCCACAGGCAAATGTTTGCTTAATGCCGGCAGAGCAGACACCGTCCTGGTGAAGTGGCAGATGGCAACCAGGGTGAAGCAGGAACCAGAGCCACACACCGTGCCGAGCCACAGGCCCCCCGGCTTGGACGCGTCCGAGAAGAGCTTGACCTAACAACGAGGGGCTGTGAAAGCCTCGAGCTGCCCAGTCTGATCTGCAACCCAAAGTGAAAGGAGACCCCGGGAGGTCTGTCGGTAAACGAAGTGGGGTGTTAAGAGGAGCTTGGCAGGTAGGAAAGAAAAAAAAATTGTGAAAATCTGAGGATATTCTTGATGTAAATTGGGCCAACAAGTACTCATCAGGGCTTTAGCTGCCCCCAAAACCCACAGGTTAGTGGCAGCAGGCGCAGTGTGCCTTGCGTGCTGCTGTTAATGACAGCGATGAGGGTCCCTTTTCCGGGAAATCGTTCCCTGGTCGCTCCTGCTGCCAGGAATGTTCGTGAAATCTGTCATTTCACAGGAGCCCCATCTGCAAGCCACCAAGTCCATGGCTCTCCCCTCTCCAAAGCACAAGCTTATTGCTTGCAAGCTCTGGGGCAGGAACTGAACCTGCTACGGCCATCCTGTGCCCCATGCTCCCCTCTACCGTGGGGCCGGCGTGCGCTTGAGTGTCATTGCAGCGGAGCATTGGCAATTACACTCTGCTTAGGAAAAAACACTTCTGTAAAGGAAACAGCTTTCCATTCCCATCTCCTGCCTGGCCACAGACCAGCGGGGCATTTTGAGAAAAAAAGTGGTTAAAATTAGAAAAGCTGGCCTGAAAAGAATGTCTTTATATTCCAGTAGAAGGAAAAAAAATTGCAGAAATTACCATTTTTGTCCCAGGAAGAG